GTGTAGAGAGAGAGAGAGAGAGAGAGAGAGAGAGAGAGAGAGAGAGCAGAGAGGATTGAAGGGTGTACGACGCGGAGAAGGAGAGGAAGAATCTGGCGGGGGTAAGTGAGAGGAGGTTGTCGGGGTGTTCGTTTTCACGGTTGCTGTGTTCCCAGCCCCTATCGTGGTTGTGCCACTGAGCCGGCTCGTTTTATCCTTGTGATCCGGGATTCAACATGTACCAGGCTGGCGCCCCGATCATATGCATCAGGGACTGGTAAGGCGAGGGGTATTCGAAATCGACAGGGATGACGGGCAAGGAAGTTAAGGAGAGGGAGGAGGAGTGTATGGAAAATGACGAGAGGAGGATAAAAGATAGGGGGAGAAGTCGAGATGGGAGGAAGGAGAATGTAAAGTAGAGGATGATTTACTCCAGCGTTCCTTTGAAGATTTTGACGAACGGAGGGGTGATAGTGTCGATTTAGCCAATGCAAGGCCAACGGTGATGGTAGTTAGGTGTTAGAGCTATGAGTTGAACGGGAACGGAGTAGTTGAGAAGAAGTGGAGAAGGAATTGAGAGAGCAAGAGCGAGAGTTCGGATTGTGTACCTTGCTCGTTCGTAACGAAATTGAGCGAATTGGGGTAGGGGCGAATTGAATCATGGGGTTTTTATATCAAAGGGTAGGCTCCGAGATATGGTAGATAGGGGCTGCGCCCAAGGGTGATGAGTATGAGGAGGTATCTCGGCGGGGATACGCCCACTCAAGGGATGCTGACAACTCCCGTGGGTGGAGGTAAGACGTGCCTCGCGTGACCCTATCCTGTCGTAGGGGTTCGCGAGAGGTACGGCTGGCGCACTCCGTCGGAGCGGCAACCCGCGTTCTATGACGAAGTCCTGCAAAATCCTGCGTGACGAGGCCGGAAGGGTCCCCCTGCGGGACCGATGCGCTCGACAACGTCAACCCAGATTATAAGTTGCTCAACTGCTATGACTGCTTAAATCATGCCCCGTACGGTGAAAACTGCAAGTGCGAACTCGTTTTCTTTCCTGCCAAGCCTCCTCGGAGGACAGACTCCACCAATAAAGAGGATTGGACTAAGCGCTTGAATTTTGATGGCTTTATAAGAAAAATTCAGAAAAGCAGTTCAATCTCAATTTCTGCAGCTTTCCACAAACATATCCAGATTCAGACATTCAATCCAATCCACTTTGCTACCGTCTTCCCCCGAACATAACGCATATGCGTTGTATTGAACTAAAAAAAAAAAACGGCTTTTTGGAAAGTTAGATCCTTATCTTCAAATACATGGGCACTTCGAAAATAACGTATATGCGTTCTATTCGAATTATACACAAATGCGTTATATTTGAATTTCACGAAGAGAAATTTGTTGTATTCGAATATAACTTTTTTTTTTCTTTTTACCCTGAAGGTCGACGCCTGCTCTGTTCTTGCCCTGGTGAATGGGACAGACCCGTAATCACAGATCACAGTCCGTGTTCTCTCTCTCTCTCTCTCTCTCTCTCTCTCTCTCTCTCTCTCTCCGTGCGCGAAGGGGCTTCTGACAACCAAAAAAATGGCGCTTTTGACAGTCAAGAATATCGCGTGGCCAAGAAAGTGGTGCGGCAAAGAAAGTGGAAGAATAAGAAAGCCACTCACCAAGGTCTCGTTGCACTACCGTGGTCACCGAGACAAAAGAAAGGGGTTGTATTTGTCCACGGTCTAGTGGAAGATTTATTCGCACTTTGCACATTTGTTGAGGAGTGGAGCAAGGGCCCATGTAGGGGAAAGGAATGAAACTCAACTGAGAACATGGAAAGGTATGTCGCTACTTTACTTTTGGGTTTTTGTCGAAGCTCTGAGGCCCCCAGCGGTGGTCCAGAGTCCGGAACTGAGTCTACTCGTCCTGGACCCGACCATACGCATATGAGTTGTAAACGAATAGAACGCACTGTATAAGTTGTATTCGTTTACAACACATATGCCTTATGTTCAGGGGAAGACGGTGGGGGGGCTCGCCCCAGGGCCTCCTAACTTTTCGGAGTAGAAGTAGGATGTTTTCCCAATTTTCCCAATTCACACCAGAAGGGGCGCCCCCTTTCAGAAAAGAAAGAAAAGAAAAGAAAGACGAAATGGCGCGGACGAGGGGAGTGGAATCTGTGGCGGTACCGCGGGGCCGGCGATAGCGCGCAATTTTCGTTTCTGGCGCCAGATTGCGCTGCGTTGGGAATATCGACGGCCAGCAATGAAAGAAACGAGCGCAAGGGGGAACTGGATGTGGACTCCAATTGCGCGAAGGGAGTGGCCCATGATATAGAGTGGGGGCCTGCTTTGTACGGCAAACGTAGAACACGGAGTTGAAGTAGTTTTTGATTCCGCGGGATAGGATGGGAAATTGTGTGAGTAGGAGCCTCGCCCGTGTGAATTCCCGCCCAAGGAAGGGGGGGGGGGGGAAGGGGTCGGGCGAAGGCAAGCAGCAGGGTAAGCAACTGGAAAATCCAAGGCAGCAGAAGCAACCGGTAGAGGAGGGGGAACAGGAAAGTCATCCGGACGAAGGAGGAGGAGGAGGAGGAAGGGGTGATGGTCGCTTCGTCGGCATTCCCGAGGAGGAGAAGACAAGGGGGCGAGGTGCAGTGGGAGGAGGAGGAAAAGGAGAAGGACAAGGCGCCAAAGGAAAGACGAAGGCAAGTAAGCGCGCCGAGGACGAGAAGACAAGGCGGGAAGCCGTAGCAGTAGTAGTAGGAGGCGGTGCGAAGCCGGCTGCGGCGCAAAGCTACGTCCCTGACGACGACTACGACGACGACGACGCCGAAGAAGAAGAAGAAGAAGAAGAAGAAGAAGAAGAAGAAGAAGAAGAAGAAGCGCGTGAGAGAAGGCCGGCCGCTGACGTAAGAGAAGAGGAAGAAGGTACTACCATGGGGAACCGCTCCTCGCGGCACAATGCCTCCATGCAAGCTCGCCCAAATTCTGACCCTGGGCCCGGGACCAGAGTTAAGGTGAAACCTTCGGTAACTAAGCGGCCCAGCTTGACATCGAATGTGCTCGATGGAGACAGGGAGGATCTGAAAAGCCTATACAATGTGACTAGAGAGTTAGGTCGAGGTCAATTTGGCGTGACGTACATGTGTACGGACAAAAGGACCGGAGACCTGTACGCATGCAAGACGATATCGAAACGGAAGTTGAGAAGAAAGGATGATGTGGAGGATGTCAGACGAGAGGTGGCGATCATGCACCATCTGACAGGACACAAGAATATTGTGGAGTTGAAGGGAGCGTACGAGGACGCAAATGCGGTGCACCTGGTCATGGAGTTGTGCCAGGGGGGAGAGCTGTTCGACAGAATCGTTGCCCGACATCATTACACGGAGCGGGCAGCGGCGCAGATCTGTCGGACGATAGTGCAAGTGGTCGAGATCTGCCATTCTCTCGGTGTCATGCATCGGGATCTCAAGCCGGAGAACTTTCTGCTAAGCAGCAAGCGTGAGGACGCCGACCTAAAGGCAACGGACTTCGGGCTATCAGTCTACTTCAAGCCGGGTATATAATCAACATAAAAACTCCTCTGGAATCTCTCTCGACTCTCCTCTGCCTTCGCGCTTCTCTCTCTCTCTCTCTCCTCATTCTCTTTCTCTCTTTCTTTGCTCTCCTCTCTCTCTCTCTCTCGTCTCTCTCTCTGTCAGTCTACTTCAAGCCTAGTGCAATCTACTTAACTCCTCTGGATTCTCTCTAGACTCTCCTCTGCTTTCGAGCTTTTCCCTCTCTCTCTCTCTCTCCCTCCTCATTCCTTCACTCTCTCATCTCCTCGTTCTTCTACTCTCTCTCTCTCCTCTCCTCTCCCTCTCTCTCTCCCTCTCTCTCTCCTCTCTCTCAGTCTACGTCAATCCTGCTACAATCTGGTTCACTCTGGATTCTATCTCGAATATCCTTTGCCTTCGTGCTCTTTCCTCTTCTCTCTCTCTCTCTCTCTCTCTCTCTCTCTCTCTCTCTCTCTCTCTCTCTCTCTCTCTCTCTCTCTCTCT